TTATACCCTAGAAGAAAAGTTTCGTGCATTTAGAGGGTCATAAGTGTATATTTCTTTTCATGATGGCAGATGGAGTAATGACGGTGGAATGGTCTACTTCTAGTGAGTGGGTTTTGATTACAGGTGGATGTGACGGTGCAATACGTTTTTGGGACATTAGACGTGCTGGATGTTTTCATGTTTTAGATCAGTCCCAGTCTCAGCTTGGGAGACGTCCACCCATCTTGAAACGCTCTGCCATGATTAAGGTTTTCTTCTTTTCTTTGCCGCACCAAAGCATATGTTTTCAATATATCACTCACTTACTTTGTTAACTTTTAGGTTTATAGTGTTTCTTTTACAGTTATACTTAGCATATACCACTAACTATCTGAAATGATTCTACATGTCTTTGGGGAATTCTATTTCCTCTTTGTTACCTTGATGGCTTAATGGAGCATGTACCATTTGGCGTTGTATGCAGTTTTTATGTACTTTTTTTATATTCCATTTACATTATTTTTCTCCGTTTTATTCAATATGAACACAGCTAAATGTGTTGGTGTTCTCATGGATCAACTAAAAATATGATGAGATCTACACTATCAACTACAGCGTGTATATTTGTGTGATTCTTTTCTTGCATAAGTCCTGAATTCCTTTGTGTTTTTCCTTTTTTAATGTCATTACATTATTATCGATGTTTGTAATTGAATCTTGTAGTTAGTGAGAGAGTGCAAATTTAACTTTAGAAAGTTATTATGTCGACAGTTACCCATCTACTGATAATATTTGTTTCTTTGTCCCACTTAGGGTTCAACAGCCAAGTCCTTGTCAGCAAGTCAAAGTTCATTTGCAAAAGCACGGACACCACAAACGAAACTCATGAATGCAAAGCAATCACCTGTCGGTAAAATTCCAGTAAAGGGATCTCTGAAGCAAAGATTACATCCAGGGATGTTGTCTAGTCAGGATCGTGCAACTGCTCATTATGGTGCTGTTACTGGGCTAAAAGTTACTGAAGACGGCATGTATCTCTTAAGTGCAGGTTGAGTTGTTTTAGTTTTGGAATTTTGT